GGGCAAGTCGGTGCACCGATGCTGCACGGACTCGCATCACATTCCCCCAAACCCACCCCCCACCCCACCCCCTCACGCCCCCCTCCCGGCCCAAGAGCCTGATGAACACAAAGGGCAGCTGTGACGGCGCCGCCACCCTGGTGGTGAGCCCCAGCGAAGGGGCGCGCCGGCAATCGGGGAGGGCCGTGTGCCGTGGCGCATATTTGCCATGCGGCGGGATCCGTCACCATCAGCACCATCGACATCCAGGATCAATCCACTGCGTGAAGAAGGCCGCCGCGAGTGTCATTGTTGATATATATATCGTAAGACGTCTCACGATATATATATCAACCAACCCGGCACCAGGACACGAACTGATTTCATCGCAGCGACCCTTTGGTTGTTCAACACACCGGGCTGTAAACGTATTTCCCTTCTGAGTGTCATTAGGTCAAAGTGATATCCCGCTGAAATGAGCTTTGAGGCTGCGGCTCCAGCGCCAGTCTACAGCCCTCAAGAGAGTGGTGTTAATTCCACATTCCAATGGCAGGGGGCGGTGCGTCTAGCCAAAGGACAACCGCTGTTGACATAAAGTGGTATCAATTTTATCAACTCTGGAGCGATTATGGGATGAGTCAACCTCCTATACCCCCCCCCCCCCCCCCAAATGGGGATTCGATTTGAACTCTCAACCTTCCAATTGCGAGCCGTTCGCTCAACCGCTGAGCCCCCGTGGCCCCGATATTTTAGTTTAGTAGGGATAGTCGTAGCGGTAGTAGTATCTCTCGTCATGATTATTCGAGTGCTGATTACTTAGCACTGTCGAACGCGCTGCCGCCCCGCGCGGCGATGGCAGGATGCCATAGCGTTCGTCGCTTCCCGGGCACCGCTGGGTCCGCGAAGCCGTCTCGCGACCGCCTCTCCGTTGCGAATGGGTCGAGAAGAACGGCGCACGCGCGAGTGTTAGGTCCTGCAACGCTCCGCACCATGCATTCGTCTTCGGGAGCGTCGAGAGTTGGCACCGTGGAAGCAGTCACAAGCAGTGCGGTGGCTGTCACAGGCGAAACCTTTCGGCATATTTGCAGATAGTCCTTTTTTGCTCTGGGGTTCTGACTCGAAGTTTTGGAAACCCTTCCATTAATTTGGCCGATTTCCCCAAGTGAATGTTCCCAATAGCAACACAACGTTAGGCTCAAGTTGTGTTCATGTTGGATTGTCGTTAACAGTTACAGTGCGCTCCAACATCGTTACAGAGTGACGGACGAACAGAGAGCCAATGCATCAACACTCTAAACCGCAGCTGGAAAGAGTTTGAAATGTTTTTTTTTGTAAATACGTCAAGTAAGCAGTAGTGATCTTAAAATAGAGATGAAGGGCTTATGTTTCATTTGATCCATACAGGTGTACATATGATGAAGGAACTCGGGGGAACACGTACACATGTGTATAACACACTTGCCCGAACATACAACCAAACACCAAGACACAACACAATTTGCATTTATATTGCGTCTAAATGCAACCGCGTCTGCAGATGCTTCACAGGGAGGAGGGGCCAATCAAAAAATGTACTCTATGCCACATGAAACCAAATGTGGGTCCTTAAGACTCTACTTGAACAAGGGAGTAGCTGATGCACTTTTAAAGCCTCACTTCTTCTCCCATCACATTTTCGGCACTCCTACCGTGTTTCTGTGCTGTTTGTTGCTGTAACGTTCTCACCCGCCCCCGACTAGACATCTGTGAAAAAAGAGCTTTCTAGCTCATCAGATTCCTCCTACAGTATAATTAAATATTCTGATTCTGATTGCTCATCTTTCCTCATCCCTCCCCCCGAACTCTTGTCCCGTCCCTCCCCTATAGCCCTTCCCTGACCGCTGTGTGCCCTCTCTATTTCGCTCACTCATTCCTCGGCCCGTGCACTGCCCATTGCCGTCTAAGTCACTCTATTGCTATTACCGCTTTAAAACTTTGTAAAACAACGCCCATCTTGGGCGCTCTACATATATAAAATAAGATGAGAGGAGGAAGAGAAATACAGAAGAGGAGAAGGAGCGACCTCCTCCGATGGAATGAAGGTTTTGACCAGGCGTCGTAAAGGAGGAGGCCTTCTTTGGTGGAGCAGAGCCAACGCAACTCCGATTAGTGCGTTTGGTTACGCACGGTGCTAAAGAAGTTCAACATACATACGTAGACACATGCCGGAGAGTAGAGTGAGACGGGGGAGGAGCGGGGAGAGGACCTCCTCATGTGGGGAAGTAATAAAACATGGCACGCAGAGCGTAACTCATGGTTGCGCGCGGCATGGCGCTAGATTTAGAGGTGTTTAATGCGGTGTTGCTGTATTAGAACATAAAAACAACGCCGCGTATAATCTCGGCTCATTAGAGATCAGCACTGAACTCACTGAAGGCTAATAAACATAATCTAGCAAGAGCGACTGAACTCCGAAACCTAAAAAAAACTTAATTGCATCTGAAAAACACATTTGGAGAGAACTAACTAAATAAAACGAAATGTGATTACGTAAAAATGACATGTAAGGAAGACACGCTCGCGATATAATGTAACGCCAATGTGTATTTGTTGAACAAAAACACTCGCTACATTATTTATTTTGACTATGATTACTGTGCTTGTTTAACCCAGGAGAGCCTTGCGGAGTCTCAAGAATTGTTTTCAGGAGGGCCCTGCCAAGTGTGTGCAACAGGGCAGGCGATTTTGCGGTGAGCATTCCTAACAGAGTAATCTGCAGGGAGTCGCTCGGCACTGGGATCTTTGGCCAATCCGGACTAAAGTAAAAACTATACAACGAAACGATTGTTTATGTTACCAGGAACGGCCCACTGAGCTATATTGCTCTTTTTCAGAAGCAACCTGGCCACAAATGATAGATCGACGAAGTGGCTTATCACGTGGAAAATTATAGCGGCCAAATACCCTAAATGCACGTTTCTAAATTTGGAGGGAAAACCTGGAGTAGCCGGAGAAAAATCCACGCGACCACGGGGAGTCCATGGAGGCGTCAGGTTCGGGATCGAACCCACAACCTCCTGCATACCCTGCAATAGTTAAGGTACAGTCACGTAGAAGGGAAATAATAAAATAATACAAATAAAACATAATAAAATACAATTCTCACGACGTTTCGGCCACAACGCAAGCAGCCGTCCTCAGGTGAAGAACAGGTCTGTCGGAAAGACAGGTCTGTCGGAAAGACAGCGTCTGTTTCCGACAGACCTGTTCTTCCACCTGAGGACGGCTGCTTGCGTTGTGGCCGAAACGTCGTGAGAATTGTATTTTATTAGATTTTATTTTATTATTTGATTATTTTCCTTCTACGTGACTTTACCGAAAGAACCAAGAAGATGAATCCCTGCAGTCACGAAAGCTTTAAATCGAAATTTATAGTTAAGGTAGTTAACATCTCGCCACCGTGGTGCCCTACATTTGCATGTGGTATTTTTGTTTTAGTTTACATGCCTCAAGACATTCAAATATTTATTTGTATTATTCACTTGGAAAAATACCATCACCCACCCCACTACCCTCCTGCTCCCACCTCTCCCACACCCCCACCCTACTGTGAAAATGCTTGTAGGACCCTCCTAACCAAGAGTGTAATGATACTCACTCTCACCAAGGCTTGCCTGGGTAATAAACCAAGCGTTGTAATGATATCGTCATTCTTCAATTAAGACTGTGACGCAAAAAGGAAAAGTAAATACGAGTCGACATTTCGGGCAATGGTCCTTCTCCGTAGCACATGGGGAGGGGGCCAGAGAGGGTAGAGTGGATATACGCCGAAGACTGCCCTTCATGTCATGGTATGAAGTCCTGAGTTCACTTCCCGAGTTCAATACTATGGTATAAGTGCAGGCTCCAACTCTTATCCAATCTACCTCTCTGGCCCGCTACATCTACGTGCTATGAAGTCGGGCCATTGCCAGGGACGTTCCCATTTACATACTTGTCCTATTAGAGCTGCAGCATTATTGATAAACATGTCGAGTTACTGATAATGCAGCAGCGCCAAACATAATCTTGTTAAAAAAAATTCTGATCGGCTAACTTTCTGTGGACACACCATTAATTGCAGAGAGTCAACAGCTGTTGCGTTGTTGATTTTCAATGCATGCGTCCAATGCTAATTTTGTATTTGGAGTCTTTTAAAATTGTATCCGTACACAAACACGCACGTATGGCGCAAACGGCCGCCACTTGTTGACAAGCAACGATGACGATACCGTGGCCGCTCGTGCCAAACTAGGTGCACTTTCAGTCCGTCAGGCAAGGCGCGGAAGTGCTCTCCCCATTGCCAGGAGGGACCGGGAAGAGATCCAGGGTGTTATGGATCGACTGACTGAGACGATCGGCCAATGCACCCGCTTGTGCTCCTCACTACTGACAGCGGCAGAAATGAAGACAATGCTCCCCCCGCGTAGCCATTTAACACGCTGTTATGACAAGTGCTGTTGGTGAGCATCTATTATTGAAGCTGGCACGCTGCACAAGTGGGTGGTGGTGATAGTGTGGCTGGGAGCCACGCTGAATGAATCGACCAACGGGATGAAATTCGCCGATGTTGGCCGTAGGACTGGAATCAAACTCGGAACCGCTGCATTCGCAGCGCAGAAGCACTAACCAATACTCCAGCAAATGCACGGTACACGTGCAAGCGCGAACACACGCATTTAGATATCGTTATATATATACAGCTAACCACTACAAATTAGCATGAATAAATATTTGAAAACAACAGCAGACTTCTTGCGCGCTCAGGCTAATGTAACACGTAGGAAGCGGAGCTTAAAACAGTGGCTGATCCAAGCAGATTAATTTTCACGCCATTATCCCTGCAATATTGGCATTCCTCGTGTTCGTTTACGGCGGGCAGATACAAAAAATACAACCAATGTTTAATACGAATAACAAAAACTCGGGGCATCTCGCAAATTAAACGGCTGAATGTGATGCCATTTGGGTGCCTTATAATGGAAGGTCATTCCATTACTCACCTGTACGCAGAGATCTCCGGGTTCGCAATCATGATAGATTCCAGATGGAAGCGACCATCTCCGAGATAACTGCAAAATATCACATGGGTGCGGGGTGGCGGGAAAGGGCAAATGGTAATGAGGATAAAAAAGATGGGGGGTACGGAGCGTGAGATTGGTTAACAGGTGTAGAGTCTAGCTGAGCTGATGGGTCATGCAAATGACCACTTCGTAACTAGGCCACCCACTTGCACCGCCACCACCATCACCAGCACCACACACCTAGGACGGTGTGGCACGTACGGTTCATGAGCAGCATCGACTTTACGGGATTTTAATTATTTACGTGAATCAAAGCTTCCCCCACCATAATCAATCGAAACCACATCAATAAAGCCCCCCACGTAATGCGTGAATCTACGTTTGTTTGTAACGTCTCTGCGCGAAAGATGAAAAGCGACGCGGATGAATGAGAACGAGCGGAAATGGAAATAAACGAGAACGCTGTTCGCCCGTTAAAATGCCCGCGTTGACCAAAAAAACAAGAAAGCCCCCGCGGTTTGTCTCTTTCCGCCAAAACCTCTGCGCAAACGACCGAGGGTCATTTCTTGGTCGATTTCTGCTGAAATGTCAGATGCGGCATGGATCGTCACACGTCCACGCCAAGCTGTCGCTTGCAATTATCACGACGGCTCAAAAACGTGGCCGAAATGCCGAATCGAGCGTTGAATCTGAGGGGAGGGTTGAAGGCAGGGAAAATAAAACTCTGGGCGAGGGTAAATATCGTGCGCGTGGCAAAGTCGATAGGCAGAACGTGTGCTCCTGGGGTAGAGCGTGGGTGCTCCCACCTGTTTCCGAGCCCTCTGGGACCAACGTAGCCAAATGCCTCCTAGAGCAGCAGGGGCTGGCTCTCTTGAGCTGCCGTTTTCGTCGGCACGCGAGCGAGCAATTGGCAGGGCCGATGTTGTCACGTCAGGAGTTTAGCTTAGAACAACCGAGTCTGGCGAGAGGGGACCCAATGACAATTATTGCCACGTTGTCATTTGATTCTCCGTGCTCGCATATCATGTGCTCGTGATGTTTACAGAGTCATTAACCCCTTTCATATTCGCTCTGCGTAATCCCCTCGGGGACTTGAACAACAAAAACATTTCGCCTCTTGCCGGAATTAGTAACAAACAAATAATTAGCGAGCACTGTCAAAATTTATGTTAACGGCGGGAAGGCACGTTAGAATCCCTCCGCATACCCCCCCCCCCTCAACCCCCTAACCCCTATCATCCCAATTGTTAAGATGTGGGGGTCAGGAATAAAAAAGACTCAACACATTCGTCAATAACACTGAGTGTGGGCTGACAAGAAAACATTCATAATAGGCGACGTTTCAGGCAATGCCCATGTGTGGCGAGTGGTTGTGGGTTGTGTGGTGAGTGGTTGTGAGGCGTGTGGTGAGTGGTTGTGGGGTGTGTGGTGAGTGGTTGTGGGGCGTGTGGTGAGTGGTTGTGTGGTGTGTGGTGAGTGGTTGTGGGGTGTGTGCTGAGTGGTTGTGTGGCGTGTGGTAAGTGGTTGTAGGGTATGTATTGAGTGGCTAGGTTTGGTCGTCTGGTTTCATGGGTGAGTGGCCGTGTCTCTGTGTGGTGAGTGGCTGTGTCCGTATCGTGGACGAGCAGCGGCGTTGTGCCGTGCGCCGCTGCAGCAGTCGGCGGTGGCGACGCTGCTGCGCTCGCTCACATGATGGCGGCGCCGGGCATGTCGACGCGCGGCGCCGTGCATCCCAGGATCTCGCCGGGGGACAGCGGGCGGCTCTGCGGCACCGTCACGTCGAAGTCGTCCCGCAGGGCTTGGGCGGCCGCCTGCAAGCGGCAGGCCGCCATCGTTCAAACCACGGCACCCGATAACGCCGCCCAATTAAATTGCCTTCCCCCCCCGCCCCCGTCCGAGATTGCATCTTGGGATTTTGGACAAAGACTCCGATGGCCCCCTCCCCCAACTCTTCCTAGGTCTACCCAGTTCCACCCCCCTCCATCCTTCTGTCCCCCATCCATCTGGCCCACCCCCCCACTCTTCCTAGGTCTACCCAGCTTCACCTCCACCCCCCCACCCTCCATCCACCTGCCTCCCCCCCCCACTCTTCCTACATCTACCCAGTTCCACCCCCCCCCCATCCTTCTGTCCCCCGCCCGTCTGGCCCCCCCCCCCACTCTTCCTAGGTCTATCAGCTTCACCTGCACCCTCCTACCCCCTCATCCCCCACCCGCCTGCCTCTCCCCCCCCACTTGCACCCACCCACCCACCCCGCCAGGCACTGCGGGGCATGCACCGCAAGCTGTGATGTCGCATTCAAACACTTTTCCAAGTGGAGTGATGGGAGCGGCCGCTCTCCGCTAGTGGGAGAGCACTGACCTGGAGGTACGGAGCTTTGCTTTTATCAAATCAGAGAGACGCGCTGCATATGCAGCGGCAGCAGCAGCAGCAGCACTGCGTTCTTACTCTCGCCTACATTCGCTTGTGAACTTCACAGCGAAGCGTTTCCACCCGCGTTTTATTTTCGCCCTCATCTGATCGCGCGGCTTAACTGGAATTTCCCACGTGCGTTCGCGATACCTGAGCTTGCTCAGATATCCGCCTGTACCTGCGGTCCCCCAGCGAGTCGAATACGCGACATGGCGTTGTCGCTCGAAATTAACGAGTCAAAGGTCAAAGCTCAAACGAGCAACGAGGCGGACACGCACATCTCCCCCGTGTACAGCCCTGAGCCCGTGGCGGAAACTCCACATTTCTATGGGCGGGGGGGAGGGGGTCTTTCCGAAGGTCAACCGCTCTGCTATTGACCTCTCCAAAAAGCAGTGCTTATTTTATCGACCCCGGAAGGATGATGGGCTGAGTCAACTCCAAAACCAGGATGTGATATGAACTTTGACCCGCTCGCTGTCGCGCTGACCCACTTGTCTGCACTGCTTGTTAACAGTAGTAGTAGTGTTATTGTTGTTGTTATCCGCAGGCTGCGGCCTGCTATTTTTGAGCTTGAGACATGCGTGAGAGTTCGCAGGCGTGAGGGTTCCGGTTGGCGCAGCGTGACGGTGAGGCAGGACTCACCTGCAGAGCCGACACGAACTGGATGGTGCTGACCAGTACCAGCGAGGAGCCCTTTGGGAAATTGAACCTCAGCGTGTCAATGAAGTGAGCCGTGTCGATCTTATGTCCACGAACACGTACAGCATCTTTATGTCGCGCGTGATGTCCACGGGGACTGCAACACAAAGCGGACGAAGCAATCACTCTCTCCTCCGTCACGGCGATGTGTAGGAACTGTGACGATTTGGCGATCTTTAGTCCAATTTGAAAAGAATAAAAAAAACTATTCTTTGGTCGTGTTATTCACTTTTTCGATGTCTCGTTTATATCATTTCCTGTATGTGTGGCTATATTCTGAACTTCTTTCGCACCTTATGCAGTCACCTGTGCTAATGTAACATTACCCTGCAAGTAATTTTAGCAATGAATAAAGGTAAAGGTGCAGCCCTTGTCATTGCTTTGCTTACGCCACTGCTGCCAGAAGAGCCTCCACGAGCGGGAGCTCTCAACAGCCCCTCAAAGAGGGGGTACTTTTTGACTTACTCTTCCAGCTTCTTGGTTCTTTCGGTAAAGCCACGTAGAAGGGAAATAATAAAGTAATAAAAATAAAACATTTTATTTTTATTTTTTATTATTGTATTATTTCCCTTCTAAGTGACTTTACCGAAAGAACCAAGAAGATGAATCCCTGCAGTCACGAAAGCTTTAAATCGAAATTTACTCTTCCAGGCTGGCCAAGACGTCTCGGGAGAAGCAGCAGTACCCAACGCTAACTCCACCGGTCGCAACCAGCCCATCGACTAACTGTGCTCTATCTGTAACATTCACAACAAACGCTGAGCGGACAGAAGTGGCGTCGGTGGGAGGGGAGGATTTAAGAAACTTTCCCCCATGTTTTCACTGCCGCCGCCGGGAGATCGAACCGGACCCGGCGACCTCCGGACTTGTCCACCGTGCTCACCATCGTACCAAGGTATCATCATCATCATCTCCATTTGCATAATCGACGGCCCCAGCTCACCCTCGCAAATGCGCAAACCCCGAGAACCGATGCCGATCGATAACCCGGCGTGTCTCCTTTTGCAATCGGCCGACGAACAAATTCAGCGGCGAGCGCGACGGCCACGCGGAGCGACGGGGACGGCTCGCGACGCCTGATCGAGCACACTAGCGCACGCGCCACGGGCGCGTGCGCTAGTGTGCTCGCGTTCCGGGTAAACATTTCGAATGGCGCATCGTTCATAACGTACGGGAGTGTCAACGCAGGAAACGAAAACACATTTAAATCGTGAGCTACAGTCTGGCGAGCGTTACGATATTGTCTGCGGGGCCGTGTGTAAAGCGATTTTTGTTGTTGTTGTTGTTGTTGTCCCCCCGCCCCGCCAAACATTTCCAAGAACTTAAATTCTCTCCTCTCAGGCACGTCCACTGGGACACGCCACACAAATTCCGAAAAATTCACCTGAATAATGTATTCATCCATCGTGAATCATTCCATCACATCGGCATTTGGCAACACCGTAGAATACACATCACGGCCCGTAAATGATATATGCAGGCAAAACAAATAGCACGGAGGAGGACACAAGATGTGGAGCACAAAGGCCTGTGTAGAGAAACACCGCGTTTTCTTTTCCCCCTCTCTCTTTCTCTCCCGCGTAATTAGAAATGAATTTCGAGCGATGAAACTTGCTTTATTTTAATCGATAAGTCTCCCTTGTAATCCGTGATCGTTTCGAGTCGTATCAACTCCCCCCCTAAAAGCAATAACGTTGTCTCGGAAAGTCATTAAGAGGGGGCTCCACACACCCCATGCCCCCCCCCCCCCACCGTTTTTTTGAGCGTGGATCCTCTGGCTTTGCGAGATTTATTCGCTCAGATCAATAAGCCAGAGCGTGCACCTCAAACAGCTTCAATTCAACTAAACACGGCGGTGCACAGCAGGGACCCCCCTTCGCTGCGATGAAAGGAGACCCCGACGTTTAAAAAAAAAAAATTCCGAAACAAATGATTCCAGTCCGCTGTCGTAGTAATTCACCCGTTTTTACTGGCGAGCGGTGAATCGCCTAAATAATTACCAAAAAACGCGGTTATAAATATTGTTTTTTCGTTATTATTGTGATAAAAATTGTCCGAGCAGCATCTGTTTTCACGCGGGGGGGCGGGGAGAGGGGTAGAGCGGTGAGGTTCACATTGGGGTGGCCACATGGATTTCACGTGATTTAAGGGGGGCGGCGCTGAGCTGATTAAGTTAGATAATGGTAATAAGAAAAAAAATACACCCTACATTTAAAGCTATGGGACTGAAATACAAAATGTGACGCCGCTACCTTTGACATCAACCATTCCAGTTAGTTAGTCGTCACCATCATTGTCATTATCAGCCATATCTACTGCTGGATGAAGGCTTCTAGGAGTTGTCGCCATCCTTTACAGTCTCGCAATGCAGCAACCAACCTGGAGTCTGTACAGATCTGCAAAATGAGAGACATTTGCCCTTTGGGTAGAATCATCCTTGAGTGCATACGATGCTGAGTGTTCCGCGCAAAACAAACTTGCGCACAAGGCGCGCACACACACACGGGCACGCTGCGTTATTGCTAACTTAAAGGTGCAGCCCTGCAATTGCCTGGTCGCTTCATTGTTGGTGGAAGCGCGTCCCGACGGCGGGAGCTCGAGTGAGGCCCTCTAGAGGACACCCGACTCGTCCACCCTGGCCAGACGTAAGGTATTACCCACAATTCACCCCACCACAAACGGGCCTGAAGATCAACTGTGGGTGCGCCCGTTTATACCGCTGGGCTGGCGGAGGCGGCTTGGGGGGCGATTTTAAGGAACTCTGCCCCGTCGTTGTCAACATGCCGAGCCGCAGGAAGGGTCGAACTGAACCATCGAACCGAACCAACGACCTTTGGATCGCAAGTCCGGCGCGCCGACCACTGTGGCTAGCGGCAGCGTCACCGCGCAAGCGCCGCGCGGACGGGAATTCCTTCTGACGGAGAAACAGCAACTTTGCAGAGAGCAGTTTACTGCCAGTGAAGGGTGGCCCGATCGATACAGAAATGTTACTTCCATTTTCATTCTTCGCAATTGTCTGGCGAATCAATTATCCCGCGAGAAAAATAAAAACAGGGGGATTGGGGGGGGGGAATTCGGCCACAACGCATCTAAAAAGAAATCAATCGCGCCCATCACAGCCGTACGGGGCGCACAAAGGAATGCCGGAGATGATACGTGGCAGACGGGCCGCCGCGGTACGGGCGCTCCGAGCGATCGCCGCTCCCTTGCCGATCATCCTCGCCCCGTGTCCTTTAATTATTTTCATTTTTACAACAATCTGCGGGGCTCGGCATTCCGGCAAGGTGGAACCGCACGAAAGGGGTGGAGCGAAGGGGAATGAGGGGGTCCGTCTCGCCTCGTCTTACAATGCACGATGGGGGGGGGGGGGTGGGGGGGAGCAATGCTCGCTCGAATTTGCCGGTAAAGGCAGCGCTTACAGGAAACGCCGTAAGTTGCTGACCCACCCCCATACTTGACATCTGTGAAAAAAAGAGCTTCATAGCTCATCGGATTTTCTCCAAAACTTTCCGCTTGCAGCGGTCACGCTCAACTGTCGGTGGTGAACCGATGACCTTGAGCTGGGGATTCCACCGCGTCGGCTTTTCGCGTTTGTGCCACGTCACGGCCTCCCTCCGGTGTGAGTTTCGCGTCGCTCCACTCGTCGTTTTTCCGAGCGCGTTTGCCCAACCCTTCGCTCCACTTTCCGAGCTCTTCGTTACCGGCACAAGAACCGAAACATCGGACATCGTGCCCGACAACACGCAGCACAACCCTATCACACATCGGAGAGATCCGTGACCCACTCCCCCGCATCCCCTCCCGCCAGGCCAGGCCCAACCAACCACTCAGAACAGAATCTGCTCGGAACAGAAACTGAACACTAAAAAGTTAAGAGCCCCTTTTCTAACGATATTCCTCAACAGGGTTTACTCGACGTGTGTCCGGCACGCCCCGAGGACTGAAAGGCGTTTTGGTAATTTATCCAGTCCAACCGCTCTCAACTACCGGCACACCTGCTAGTTCTGTTGTTCATTTTAATATTGCGATCGTGCTATTCCGCACTCGTGGATAGTATCGGGGTATTTATATTTTTTATCTACAATACGAGCGAATGCAAGCTGTTAATGTTTAAACGATGAGTTTGCGTGTGTGCTGATGATGATGATGATGGGGGAAGCGGTAGCGTAGCGGTTAGCGCACTGTGCTACGAACACGGTGACCTGAGTTTGACTCCCACTCAGGGTCAACAGCAGAGATGGATATCTGAATCGGTCCTGGCCTCCCCTGTAAGTCAGCTCAGCCTTAAATGTGTACCTGGCTCTGCGTGAACATCACCACTGGTGGTCATAGCCACACCACCTCTTCGTGTGCCGGTCTCCATAGGTGCTCACTGACAGTCTAGAGGCTATAGGGGGAATCTCTACCTTTGCCTTTGTGCTGATGGTAACATTTGTTTGGCCACGATATTAAACGCTGGAGATTGTCGCTATCCCTATGGTTTTGTCTCGTGCGCATAAGCAGCTCGGCTGTAGAATACATTTCTTATTTAGCCGCTGAATTATGGAATTTATGCATGCGAATCAATTTATATTACATTATTCATTACATTTTTAATGCAAATAATTCTCGTTTCTTTTGCACCGTCTCTCTCCGTCTTGCCCTCCAATCGCTATATTGAATTAGAACACTAATTGGCCTATTTATTGACTGCCGAGTTCAGATTTTACATAATGGACCGAATACCTTGATAAAGATCGTCGGTGATTAAACATTTTCTGAGCACGTATTGTGGTGCAGAGGGAGAAAAAAACTGCGTGTTTTTTTTTGTCCCTCCGTGCAAAAAATGCCAATAATTACTCGTTTGTGTTAAACAGTAATTAACGCGAGCGACAAAATTTAGAATGCGGCCAACGTTCCACGCGCGCCTCGTAGCCGCGTGGCTCTCCCGCCCGAGCAACGCGCTCTGGGGTCGTGGCCGCACGTCAGCTCGGCACGCACGCACGGTGTCCGACGTTTCGCTCCGCAAATTGCTGGGTGCTCCCCCAGCCAGGTGCTCAATCGAACGGCTCACTTCGGCAATTAGCCAGCGCCGCCAGCTCCTGCCTCGTGAACATCGACCGGTCTACATCAGACACCAACAACAACAACGACCGCCAATCGCCACCGAATGGCGGTGCCATCGCCACGGCGCTTGTGCCAGGCTATGTGCACTTTTAAGGCCGTCGAACACCACCGCCACCAGCAGCAGGCAGTGCACGGAGGAGTTCTTCAAGAAGCTCCCAGCACTTTTTTTTAAATTATTATTTAGCCAGCAGGGTCAGGAGGGATCACCTAACTTTAGCCAAATCGAAGGGCCAGCAGGGTCAGGAGGGATCACCTAACTTTAGCCAAATCGAAGGGGGAGGGGAGGGGCAGGGGGGGTGCTGCATCACATCAGATATCAGATATGAGGGGCGAATATGCCTACACAGCAGCCCGTGGCTGCCGCATTCCCACCTCCGCCTCGGTCCCTTGGAGGAGGCGGGGGGGGTCCCTCACAGCTGCTGGGTTAGCAGCTTCAGAGCGGTAACCAGTTTGTTGTCCTTCCCCCACACTTCCGCGGTCAGCAAGGTTGGCTACGTACGGTGCGAAAGATGTTCAACGTGCGTACATTCGAATGGCGCGTGGCGTTTTCCACGATTAACGCCATGCGCATGCCCCCCCGCGGCATCGACCGGGTGGACCGCGAACCTCCAATGAGCGGCCCGACGCGGCAGGGCGGCCCGCCGTCCAAAAGTCGAACGTGGCGGCCTAAACGTCGCGGCCCGAACGTCGCGGCCCGAACGTGGCGGACCGAACCTCGCGGCCCGAAACGATGCGCAAAAAAGGGTGCAGGCAGGAGGGCTGGCTCCAGAAAAGAAAAAGTGTAACCGGGCCCGACGGTTCCATGGAACCTCATCAAATGTGGCAGAGGCGGCGTCGGGAGGGATACTCGAGACGTGTTGTGCACACGCTGTTCTTCTCAATCTCAAGCTGGGTTGACATGTGAAGCAAATTAGAAAAAAATGATCGTGCATCATAATACGTACACAACGGCGCATGCATGTTTTATGAGCGGGCCCAGCAATGCAGGGGGCAGAATATTGATTTTTAAATCTACATTGAGCTCTTGTTACTGTACGTTTTAATGCTCCATTTGCGAAGCAATATATATACACATATACAAGTACGCACACACACATACACACACAATCTCAAAAAGCGAACGTAAGGTGTGGGAAGCTGTTGTGCAAGCTAAGCGCATGGCTACTTTGCAGTTACCTGTAAAACGACGGCTCGTTACTGCGGGAAGCCCCCTTCCATAATAGCTCTACGGTCAATTTAAACAACACAGGTTTTTCAGCATATGCCGACAAATGATTGCTAAATACCGTAATCGGCAGTCAATGCACTGCTAAGATGATGACTCCCCTCACCGGGACCCCTCCCCCCCACCACCACCCAATGCTGTGTTTGGCCACACTTCTCCCAACTTCACCGATCCGGTCGGTGCACACCGGTGAATGGGGCAGAGGGCGAGGAAAGGTTCGGGTGTCACTCGTCACTGATGTTAGCCGTGGCCGGAGTTGAACTCGGATCACCCCTAGTTCACACCGCGGCGCGCTAACCACTGTGGCACAGGAGCCACCTGTGCAGCATGCAAATAATAACTTGCCATCGGTTAACTCGGTCGGTGATGATGCATCGATTCACGGACTTCAAGGGACTGCAACTAGCGGGATATCTCTTGATCCCCTCTAAGAGGGTATTGGGACTACTCTTCCAGGCTGGCGTTTTAGGAAGAGGTGGCAGTATATACACTGAACCCCACCACACACGAGCCGCCGATGTGAAAGTCAACTGCAAATCAAACTCACGTATTAAATATTATTTTGGTCTTTCGGTAAAGTCACGTAGATAGAACATAACAAAATAATTCTCACGACGTTTCGGCCACAACGCAAGCAGCCGTCTTCAGGTGGAGAACAGGTCTGTCGAGAAGACAGAGTCAGACTCTGCCTTTTATTATTTTGTTATGTTTTATTTTTATTATTTTATTACTTCCCTTCTACATCACTTTACCGAAAGAACCAAGAAGATGAATCCCTGCAGTCACGAAAGCTTTAAATCGAAATTTCACGTAGATAGGTTCAAAGAAAATATATTTTGTTGTTTTCTTCGAACCTATCTAAGTGACTTAACCGAAAGACCCAAAGAAGATGAATCCCTGCAGTCACGAAAGCTACAAGTCAAGATTGAACATATTAAAATACACGATACATTTCCCACATCTCCGATTGGCACGGTTGGCTACGTACTGTGCGAACAAAGTTCTACATACATACAAACCGTACTTTCCTACTCCAATTAACAGAAATGTACACAACAGCAGCATTTTCATAAACTAAGATATATGTACAAACATTTTTGGCAAAGTACCAACTTCACTAATGGACCCTTTGCCGATTCAAAACAGATGAAAATGTATCCGGAGGGGAAAAAAAACACACAATGATTTAATTTTTTTTCCATTTCAGTTTTACGAGCAAATAAACACCACGTGATTTACTTGGCAAGTCCAAGCTGGTCAATCACGTCAACTCGGAACATGTGGCGTCGACTTTCCATCCACATCAAACGTTCCCAATGCCTCCACCCCGCCCCGTCCCGTCTTATACATCGCATCAGGCACTCTAACATACTCAAGGCACTCAAGACTGCATTTATAACTTTTCATCCAGCATTGCAGGGCTGTTTGGGACAAATGTCAGAATCCATTTCCATTAGACGAATGTAATAACGATCACTGCGCTGCTAATAATACCAATAACAAGGTAACACGTGTCACCGTGCTCCGACCATGGACGAATAGTCAACAAGAAAAGCTCATCATGATGCAGCGGGTCCTGAGCTGACCATCGTCTCTAAGGTCCTGGGTACGAATCCACGGCTATGAGTATTATTCCACCGTCTCAGCTAACAAAAACCTCACATTAATCTAATGCGGCCACACGTACGTACGAGCGTGCGTGCGTGCGGGCATGCGTGAGTGCGTGCCTGCACAACTGACTTACACAATATACGTCCGTAAGGGAATCGACGTATATGGCTAACGGCCGACATATACGAATATTAGCATATTCCACTTGGGTCCAGCGAAGGTGCGGAGGGGATACGACAACCGGTCAAACTGAGCACCCATAACCAACAATGGCAGCCGTTGTAGATATTAATCTGCGCACAAGTAATTCAATTAAACTGTGGCCAGACCCTCTTCCGAACACTGGCCAAGGGCTTATACTCATCGTTTATTCATGACAACTAAAGAAAAAAACCTACTGAGACAAGGTACAGCTATTGAAAATGGGATATTAATGGTTCTAGAAGGACTGTGATTAAGGTGCGGTAGAAATCATTATTTTAGTGATTTATATATATCACGCATTTATATAATAATTAGATCAGCGACTTGGAAGGTGACGTGGCCTAGCGGTAGCACGTTTACCTCTTATTACAGAGATTCCAGGTTCAAATCTGGTGGCTGCCCTGATTAATATCACGGTGTGCGTGAACCGAAAAACTACGACGCACCGTCCGCTACGCAGCGGACGTGAAATATACCGTGACGTCAATGAGTGCAAGTGTGTTCGATTTGTTACACGGATGAGTTTAGCCAGTTGAAAAAACAAAATTACGGCAAGAACATCAAAATTGCAGAGCCAGTGCTCATTTGACTATGGCCATGCTGTCCGACCGTGACCACGCCGTCCGACCGTGAACACACGCTGTCTCTGCAAGAGCAGCAGCAGGCCGATGGCGAGCGACTCTCACCGAGGCAGCTGTGTCCGTAGTGCACCATGAAGTCCGCCCCGAGAGCACGGGCCGTGAAGTCGTCCACGCAGCACGCTCCGTATGTCACGTCGCCCATCACCACCGTCTCAGCGTCCGTAAACCTGAGCAGACGGCAAACGCGTCAACCCTCATCGATCGGCTGAAAACGTCTAAATGTACAAAGGAGGGTGTCTTATGGGTGGAGCGTGGATGAGTGGTAGTGGGGTATGGGGGGCATGTATGAAGTTGTGAAATGGGCATGGATGACCATAGGTGGAGGGTGGTAGGGGCAAAGGTCTGGTGGCCAGAAAGTTGGGTTGATGGAGTAGCGCAGCGTATCTACCCCTGCAACGTCAGTTCCATTCCAAGCCTCTGTCCCTCAATCCATTCCATCACCTTCCTCACTGAACGCCACCGGGCAACCGCGACACTTTCGACATTTTATTTTCGGGAACATAGATCAGCTCCACCGACATCTTGTTGTTGTTGTTGTTGTTGTTTTTGGGTCGTACCGCGTTGCTGTTCGGCATGATGTCCGACGCTTTGCTCTACGTGCTGGGAGCTTCGTCGGGAAATTAATAAACTAATAGGAGGAAGTGAGTGAACAAATGCTCCCAGCACGGACAGCAAAACGTCGGACATCGCGTCGAACAACACGTGGTGCAGGACAACCCGAAAAACACGTCGGAGAGCACACCGAACTGCGTGTGCATACGTTGTTATATATATATATTTTTTTTTTACAGACATGTGACAACGATAACACACACCTCTCACGGCGATTCGATGCCCCGTCACGATCCAGGGTCACGGTTAGAGACCATCCGTTTTGTTCGCCCCATTTGCTTAAAGCAAGCAAACATTGCTGTATCATTAGCATGTGACATCGCAACTCTAGTTTACGCGAGTCGTGGCACTCGACCTGGAAGTACAAATGAGCCAGCACGTCACACAACTCCAGTCCATCGCCCTGGTAACTTCCAGCGAGTATTATTTTTGCCCTCCCGAGGTACCGAGCGACGCGCGAACGCAGCGCAACGGGCGCTGCCTGCTACCAAAGAACGCGCAGTTAAAACTCGCTGACCTTTCACAGAAGAGCCGGTAATGTTTCTAGTTAGAAGTGAATAAAACGGGAATAATTACCGTGTTTTAGAGGACCCAGTCCGCCACTACAGCAGGTGCTGCACGGCTCATAAAGCTGCTCCTTGTTATAATAACCGGCCTCACCAGGACTTACAATTGCGTTCTTCGCGATGTGTGTGTTTTTTTTAATTCCAAGTAGAAATAGGCAATTAGAATTTATATTTCTTCGGAGTGTCTCTGTACTCCACAGGGATACCATCGCGTGCACGCATGCGTGCGTATCTTCGTATGTGTGCATTTGTAATTATCGGTGGGCAGCGGGAGAGTGCCGCGGTTTGCACGCCGTGCTACCAAACCAGCGGGCCCGAATTCTGATTCCCGCACACGGCCAACATCGGTGGCAAATATCTCAACCTGTCTTGGGCTTCCCCAAAGGTCGACTCACCCTTAAATTTGCATCTGGTGTTGTGAGTTAAAAACATCGGAAGTCATGGGGAGTTGGTAGCAGTGGTAGCCACACCTCCCCCCTAGTGCGTCGTGCCGGCCTTCGTAGGTGCTCCTCGCTCGCACCACTTGCCCCAATACCATGTATGGTTATATGGGGGATCTGTGTCTTTGTTATGTAATTATGGTTCGTATTCTACGATGCGTGGGTACGTTTGTGCCGGTATGTAAATGGTTATAGCCGGAGCGGTGGCACGGTGATGCAGCGGTTACAGCGCACGGTACTATGAACCCCAGCACCTGAGTTCAATTCCGGGCCATTACCACATGTTTTAATCTGCTAAAGAAACAGATGAATTAAAATGCAAATAAACCACAACATATTTAAAAGTTAACACTTTTATCCACGCAAAATAATTCCACTTACAATGAAAAGTGAAATTACATGACAGGATTTGTTAATTAATGATACAAAATTGTTAGAATTATACCAATGTACTAGAAGAAATACATTTACAATCTTGTCACATTACCCACATTACATATGGATCATAAATAATAATGTAATAGTTTTATACGTAGCGTCATCGTTCGTGCAAATTGCATCTCTCACGGTCGCTGAGGAACCACAGACCAGCAGCGGTGGTAAGTTGGCACGACCAACAATTCTCCAAGCTCTGGCATCCTATCCTATTCTACTTCGCATTTATAAAGTGCCCTTTCCAGGGCGCTTTAAGATTAAATCCGACGGCATTCAGTGAGGAAGCTGATGGAATAGATAGAGGGATAGAGGCTGGGAATGGAGCTGATGTTGCAGGGGTAGAAACACTGCGCGACTCCATCAGCTCAACTGTCCAGTCACCATACCTCTGCCCCTACCACCCTCCACCTATCCTCATCCATGCCCATTTCACAACTTCACACATGCCCCCCATACCCCAGTGCCTCTCATCCACGCTCCACCCATCAGATACCCTCCTCTGTATATTAAGACGTTTCCAGCCAATCGAGAGAAAAAAACCGGAGCACCCGGAGGAAGTCCACACGTGCAAGGAGGCAACGCTCTAGAAGAAACAGATGATGTCAGTCTGCTCTTTGCTGCACCGCCTTCCTTTGGGCTAGCCAGGGTATATGGCTCCTCCTCGGCGTGCATGGTAAGGGAATTTTCACGACATCTGTGCCGTCTCCACACTGCTGGATTACAGGCCACGTGCAGCGTAGCGGCCACCAGCCGAATATGAACAAAAGCTGAAAAGTGCGCCAAGAAGCATGGAGGCATCCTGGGAATTGCACTGGGAGACAGAAAAAGGAATGCATGGATCAGGGAACAAATTAGAGAGACTTCAAATTGACTGTTAAGTCAAGCGAGTGCATTTGGACTCCACACATCGCTCATCGGGATGATGACCAATGGACAAGACTGGTGACAGAATGGCAGTCAAAAGGAGAGAACACGACCGGGAAGGCGACCACCGGAGCTATGGAGAGATGAGATCAGCTGACGCGCGCAGAAGCGAGATGGACTGTGGCATCGCAAGGCCACGCGCGAGAGGATAACAGCATCAGAAATTCTTCATCCGGCAGCGGATAGATCATTACCGGTAACGTGAAATGACACGCCCGTTAGGCTGAACGCAAACGGGAGGCGAAACAAAAGCGCGCAAATCAGCTTTCGGGTTTATTCCGTTTGACCAGGTGAGAACTCAAGAGGCCAGGACGTATCCGCATTTGCAAAAGCGACCCGGGTCACCAAACGAAGCAAAAAGCAAGCGAGGAACAATACGGACGAGGGGGGGTAAAACAAAAAAAACAGACAAAAAGAACAAAAAAAATGCTCGGTTTACGCGGGGGAGGTGACGACGGTGAATCATTTCACCACGACTGAACGCACGTCAGTTTCAGAGAGCTCAATTAAGATTAAAATGGGCCAGGCACGCGGGAACACGCCGACGCGCGTCCTATTTCACGCGGCGATTGAGTGCTCGTCGGCGACGATGTACTTTTCGTCAAACTCCTCCCCGTCGCAAATGTTGCGGGCGTTATTTTTTTTTGTTCCATTTTATATTTTAAATCTTCCAATTTTCACTTACTCCCACGTTCGCCGAGATTAATTACACATTGTTGGTACATTTCACCACGGCCCAGTATCCCGCGGTGTACGCCAAAGCCGCTCGGGTTATATGTTCACGCCGTTCGGCGGATTTTCAGACGAATCTCCCGAGGACTCTGATTCCGCCATCAATGGAAAGGCACGCTGCTGCGTGGAGGAGTTATCTTCGGGGCGACGTGCGGGTAAACATTGTGAGAAGAGACGCCAACGAGAGAAGAAGAAAAAAAACGGCAAATAAGCGGAGATTATTAATTGACATTCGCAAGCTCTGCATCACTCCGGACATCGTTCTCAATCGATCTAGCAAGCAAAGCAGGCCTTAGCCCGGTTTATGCTTGACTGCCTGTGGGGAATACTAGGTGGGTTGGCAGGCGGCCAATGTTTTCTTAAATGTATCTGTGTGGAGTTTTTAGTAATACCCCCCCCTCACCTCCTTGCACACGTGGTGAGTTTTCTCCAATGGCGGTGTAACTCATGTTTTGTCCGAAACAAACGCCAAACACTTTTTAATGGAATTGGCCAAACATCCCAATCGGGACCTGGCAGAGGAAAAAGTCTTGAGACTCGGTGATGCTTTTTTGGAAAATGAATGCCATTTTTATCATTATTGTTGTAGACAGAACCCGGAGTAATGGCAGGACTCAAAAACATCTGGAGATGGAAGCAAATCAGGTTCAAGACCAAACTGAACATCGTAAGAGCACGCATGTTCAGTACAGCTTTGTACGCCTGCGAGACTTTGACGTTAAAAAAGACTGACCGAGATCAAACAACGGCACGCAAAGTGTCGTGCCGCAGAACGATAGTGCATCTAAACCGGAACCAAAGCGAGTGAACCAAAGTAGACGTAAGAAGAATGGTTGCACATCGAAGAGGACAATCTGATGATGCAGGCAGTGTTGAGAAGCGACGCTATTTGGACACACATGGAAGATGGACAACAAGAAAATTAAAAGTGAGTTTTAAGGAAAAATGGAAGGAACTGGAATGAGAGGAAGACCTAACAGAGAATGGCTTGACTGGTTCCTAAGAGATACGGCCACGCCTTGAACGTATTGGCACAAGACGGAGGAAAGTGGAAACAAATGGCAAAATGTGCAGGGGACACCTAATAGCGGGCTATCTGCCCATGGACCGTGATGATGATGATAAGATAAAGCTATAGGGAGAGGGTCCATACCCCTCTTTGGTTCTTTTGGTAAAGTCACGTAGGTATAAAATAAAATTAATTAAATCACGACGTTTCGGGCACAACACAAGCGTCCGTCATCAGGTGGGACAACCCAGTATGGATCCCTGCAGTCACGAAAACTTCAAATCTAGATAGATTATACGGAGAGGGCTTTGTAAAATAACCAAAACAATCTAAAGGTCTATTCAAATCTGCACGGGCGATCAGTGTGGTTTGTTCAAACATGAAAAATATCGCAATTGCAGTGTGTACGAATGTTTAATATTCCACATAAAAATTTCCCACATTAAACT